GGCCACCATGTACAGTGTCAAGTAACAACATACAACATGTGCTTTTCTAAAGAGCAGTGAGTTTTATTACCTCTCATATCCTTGAGTCCAGCTGGCAGTGAGCAGACCTGATCTTTGTTCTGACACAGTTGGCTCAAATACTCAAAGGTCATCATGGTGGACATACAGGCCAGATCCCTTGGGAAGATCTAGAACAAAACACCAGGTCACTATTAAACTCAGTCTAAGACTTCTTAAATACAGTTAACTTTACACACAGAAAAAATTAGCTCTCTGCCTGCACACCGTCACACACTCAATAGTGTGACGGACCACCACTCTGGGACTAGCTGCTGTATACACTAGTTATACACACTGCATGAGGGATCTCCTGGTATTTGAGGCCCTGGAAGTGGCGATGTTGATCCATGCAGTTCATCACTGTGCCACTCTGGGGTTCTACCCAGCACTCTGTCACAAGGTTCAGCTCGGTGTCCACATCTACAGCCTCCACCTCGGTGTCGTTGTCATCATCAGTGGAGAAACTGGAGTCCCATGAAAGACAAAGGACAACGGGATGTCAAAGGTGCCAGTACAGCTCAAGCAAACTAAGTACAGCATCTTACAATGAAATTTTTTTTTAAGTCTATTAGGGGATGTGTTCAGTGACACTACGAAGGCAATGCACAATTACAGCCAGTTTTCATGACGGAGGGTCAGTGTGAACGCCAAGGTGTGCAGCACATCCACCTGTGCTAAAACAGGTTAAGTTCAGAGACCCTCCCTCTTCTTGAAAAACTACTAATCAAAACCTGCAGACTGTTGGATCTAAGTGCCACATAGCTTGGCCACGTTTCTTTCTTTGCACCATCTTATGGTTGTACCACAAACAACACTCTGAATAACTGTCCACGTCTGTGATTTGTTCATCAATACAACCCACGAGCCTGGCTCTTTGGTGTTGCGGTCAATTTGCATGTTTGGTACCTGGTAGACCGGCGTCGGCAATAGGCGGCCGGCGAGCCAGAACTGGCCCTCCAGCAATAATATCTGGCCCGCGGCCAGATTGCTTTGATAGCAGAAAAATAAAAATAAATAAATTGATGGTGGCTGGTGCTGAAACAGAGCTCAGTCATGACAGCTACAATTACTCACATAATCACTTCCTCTTAAGTGATTGTACCTACAAAATAAAAGCACGAGAACTTTTTTGCAGCAATGCTTTATGTTGACTTTACTGAGAGCTTTTACTTCAAAAGTTCTGAAGGACATTCAAAAGAGTCTCTGGCGTGCTTTACATATCTCTGAAAAAGCAGTCAGTAAACGTATGATTGGATTAATTTCCCTGAATTTCCTCAGGGAGTCCATAGATTTATACAACTCCCCCAATGGGAGTCCTCCACTCCACCTGCTGAGCTAAACGTGCATTTGAGTATCCAAGGGTTGGAAATAATTTGACTATGTTCTGTCCGCCATGTAATGGCTTGAAAGAAATTTGGCCCGATGCCACACTTGCCGACCCCTGCCATAGACCCAAATTTGAATTCCTTCGCTACAACCAGGAATGTGATCGGCCATTGCAATGTTTTGCTAGATGATGTCACCTTGTTTTGCAACAAAAGTTGAGTTAAGTTAAAATTCAGCCAGCATCAGCACACCATTCAAATGAATGAGGGGCTGCATTCTGTTAATCCCATCCGTCGGACTAAAGTCAGTTAAATAAGGTGTGATTACTGCCAGTCTCACCTATCCTTGGTAGACGTAGAGTGAGGTGGAAACAGGATGTACTGAACAATACAAGAGGGACTCTCTGTGTCCGTGTCCCCTGACATGCCCTGAGGATACAAAGCCAAATCAGTGGAAATTACAGGTGGAAAAAATTAGGAACAGCAGTGATCCCCCCCCCCACACACACACACAAACCAACAAAATGGAAACCTAAATCATTTGGTGGCTGATCTTTACCTTCATTGGCAGCTCAATCACCATGTTAACGATGCCCTCTCCACTAGCAGCAAAGTGAAAGCCTTCTGATATACGGATCCTACAGACATCAAGAGAGGCAACAAACACACATCAAACCAATCCAGACGCAATTATTTAAAAGTAAAATGATTAGATTGGAAATGCTGTAATTATACACTAATGAAATAAGAAACCTCAGATCACATCTGCAATCCAAGTCTGTTGCAATGTGTCACTGAATGTATGGAATCAGCCTGTGCCGATAATATGTAAAACAGTAAATTCTGCACATTCTCAATTAAAAGTGGACATTCAAATAATGACCCAGTCTTAAAAATAGTAGTAGCTGGGAGGAATAAAGAAGCCCAGGTACATTTACTCATTTGGCAGACGCTTTTATCCAAAGCGAGTTACATTTGAGGAACAACATACAATCATTAACAGAGTATAAAACACAGCACGAGATCTACAACTGACATTAGATATTAATAAAAGCAGCAATAAATACTAGTAAGTGCTAATGGCACATATCACATCAATGGGGTAAATACCTAGGGAAGACATTAGAGTTAATAAAAAGTGCAATCAATACAAGATAATTGTAGGTGATAGGAGAAGAGCACAGGAAGTGCGTGTTAGATGTTAGGAGTTAGAGGTGTTATAAGAGGAAGTGTTCTCAGAAGAGTTTTCAAGAGCTTCTTGAAGTTAGAGAGGGACGCCCCTGCTCTGTAAATAACACTGACAGAGTACTACAATCAATTACTGTCAGGTGTAGTGTCTCAAATACTTGTGCAATATAATGTAAATGTATGGTGAGAACTGTATGATGTATGTGAGTGTGAAGTCCATGTGTGTTACTGTTGTTACTGCAGCCTTATGCAGCACTGATGCCCAAGACAAATTTCCCTTATGGGGATTAAAGTTGATGTTATCTTATTTTAACCACTCACAGTCAATTCAGCACAAATGGTAAACATGGCGGAGGTTCCCACAGACTATTTAAGAATTTACGGCATTTGTAAGTTATTATAAGCATCCTAAATGAAAAAAGAGAGAGAAACCACCGTACATCTATCTTTTGTGTTTTTGTAAAATAATTCATTTAATAATTCTTTAGAAAGATTAAGAAAATGCATTGTTTCTGACATTGATCTGAAAACTTAAAATACCCCCAAAAAACATTTCAAAGAAGGTGCCAGTGGGTGAACTCACTCGGAGAGCATGGACAGGATGTGAGTGACGGCCTGCATGGCCACAGTCGGCCCTTGGCTGCTCTGCACGGCCCACACCCAGCGCTGGTGGAGGAAGTAACGGGACAGGGAGGCCAGGGTGGAGGAGGCTGTGCGGTTGGCTGCCATGTTGAGGGGGATGGCACTGTTGGAGGGCTGAGGAAAATTCTCCATGTTGAAAATGAAGGGGGTTCTGAAGTCCAGCGGCAGCTTCTCATACCTGCAAAGCATCTGCGATTAATTTCATTAAAATGTGTCCAGCTCAGCCTCCTTCCTCACAGAGGACACACTGCGGGAGCTTTGATATCTTTACACATCACAGTCAGACACACTTGAAGGCACAGCCAAGTGTAACCAATTAGATCAGTGCGGGGAAATTAAAAGACAATTGATACATTGCCAAACTACGTCAGGCTTATTGTGACTTTATGAAAGCCTGGCTTTTTATTCGGTTCCATGTTGTGCAGTCATGATGGCCTGCTATGTCTGTACTGACCTTATGAGCAGCTTCTCCAGAGGCTTATTGAGCACAACCACACAGGGTCTGTCTGACAGTGAAGGTTTGGGAGCAGGGATGGAGGGAGATTTGGAGGGTGATGGATTGCCTACAATCTTCCTCTTGGTCTTGGGGGTGGCCTCTTTGTTCTGAACACGGTGAGGGAAGCGAAGTTTGAGGATCTGCTCTCGCAGCTCATCCACAATCTGATGAGAAACACAAATGTTATGACGGGTTAACACAGAGAGAGACCCTTTTATGATTTCACTGAAACTGTACAGAGGTGGCCAGCGCCTGGCTGTGCTGACCACTGTCACCATGTTTTGATTGATCAATATGTGACCCTCCCACTGTTTGGAGGTTGTACTGCCAACCTCAGCAGGCAATTGGCTGAATTGGGAGGGTCATCAGCCGATTGCGCTCACCTGGGCCCATGGGCTATAAAATCTGGCACATGTATTCAGTACGGTCTCTCCCTTCTTGCAGGTTACATCCATGCTGTGGCATCTTCTTTGCACTTAGTTTAATAAATTATACTTGTTTTAACGGAGTGCCATGCGTGGGCTCCATCTTTGTCACATTACCTGAGCCAGTTTGTGACAACGTACCAGCAGGTTTAGAGAAAGTGAATGCCAAATGTTGATGGTAGGTGTAAGGTTAAGCTTGTTTAGATTTGCCAAGGTTCAAACTGCTGTATTTGTAACATCAATCAGCAGTGCTTTAACATGAAGTTGATAACCAAGCAATAGATTTTCAAAATGCTTCATTTGTCATTCTTTTTTTGCCATGTTACTGAGCAGAGATGAAGCAAATGTCCCGGCAAAACAAACAACCAACACAGAAGCTGATAGAGGACTGTGCATACTGGATGTTTCAAACCAAGTGGTGCTTCATCAGGCCAAAGATATGACATTATACCAGTTATACTGTTACTGACCAGTGTTTTATTGTTTACTCAAGAATGGAATCAAATGTAGTACTTTCTTGTTTTATCTCTTCATCCTGCTGATTTTATTTTTTTATATTCTTCTTACTATTTCTTAGATGTAAATATAAATAATAAAAATTATTATTATTTACAGTTAATTGTACCTGATGGTGAGTGTCAAGGTTCATTCTCAGAAACAGTAGTTTGACAAGTCGGGGTCTTCATCGGCAAAGTGCTAACAGCCTGTAGTAATATTCTATTAACACAGTATAATGCAATCCAATACATCAGCACCACAAACTAAAACATAACCCTGAGCAGGGTCTGCTGCAGAGACACTGGTTTGGACTGTTTAAATGTCCCTGACACTGTATGGAGCCCCTGTATGTATGAGTCTCAGTACCTTGTTTCTGACATGGGCTGGTGTACCAATAGGGAAGCCCAAGCGCAGCACCATGCAGGGCGTCTTGGAGATGAGACGGACCAAGTAGAAGGAGGTAGGAGGCTGGTCAGACGAACTGTGGAGACACAATTCATTTAAGCGTACTCTTCTTTTCTAGGAACTTAAATCTTCAATAACATGGATTACGCATTTAAATGAGCAAAATTCCCCTCACCTTCGACAGCGTTGCCCAACCTTTTTGGTTTCTGGCCCCTTTAAAAAAGTTATATACCTGCAACATCCTGGCCTTAACCTTACTGTGATATGGTGTGAGTTGTGAGCACTTCCACAAGAGACATTTTATTGTATTTAAAGGATTTTTTAAAAGCCTATGGCAATTAAAGTCTCTAGTATTAATAAAAAAGGATATATATAAAATAAATATACCACTTTGTGTAGCACAAACTTTTTCTTTCTTATCCATAAAATAGTTGCTTTACCCCCTCAGATTTATCCTGGGATTCCTTGGGGGGACAACAAATAGTTGTGTGGGAAACCTTTTATAGTGATGACCATGATCATTAATTAGCAACATAATCATAGTGTCAGTATATAAAAGAAACAAACATTCTTCTAGTTGTTGGTCTCGTGTGGCATTTCCACCTGCAAGTCAAAGACAGTTATCAGCGCTGTCTCACCTGTATATGAGTTTAACATACGAGTAGCCCTCCACCAGCACGAAGCTGCTCCAGTCCCTCAGCAGCGATGTGAGAGCGGAGTGGGAGATACGACACTGAATGGTGCTATAACGTCCGTTGTTCCCAGCTGTGTGCAGGTGTTTGGGGACAGGCCTGGAGGGAGAAAATTATTAATATCACAAAGCACTACAACCCAAGCACAAGAACATGAAAAATTGAGCCAAACAAATATGGCAGATTACAAGGCTAAACACTACGTAAAATATGGACCTACAGCCACAGCTGCCTTCTTTTCAAATCTTTTTCAGATATCCCTCTCACGTCTAGCTGCTATTAGTGAAACCATTACCTGTGGTCCGGGCTGGTCAAATCACATTGAAATAGCATATATTATATACATTTCTCACATGTCATGTTCAAGCACGATTGCAATGCGATGCATGTGCAGCCATCTCTGCCAGAAGTTGGTGTCCATGGAGAGGATGGGCTTCCAGTAGGAGGCAAACTGGGACTGAGAAGAGTCTTTGGATCCACTGTGCTGCAACGACAGGACCTGGAAAAAGAGATCATTCAGTTAAAGGAGGTACGCAAACAGAACCCAGGCAGAGAGGATAAATGGTTGTTGGATCCAACTTCATCACCGTTGACTGAGGAAGGTGGACAAGCAGAGTGGAATACGCAGTGACCATCGTTCATTTTAGCTTTTTGGTGTTTAAAGGATAAACCTTGTTATTCTTTCTGACTGTCAACAAATCCCATGACACCCCAAAGCTTTTAGCCTGGATTTAAAGGTATTCAAAGTTAGTGCATGTCTAATACCTTCTGTGGCTTCTCCACGTTTAGTTTGGTCACTCTGGAAACAGTTAGCTGATGACCTGAGAGGCACAGAGTGTTCACATGGTAAAAGAGAATCATTTTGGTCCTAAGCCATTGAGGGATGTATAAACAAGTAGCAGTACATAAAACTCTATTCTCTGATACACTGACAGCCAGTGTAGAGATCTGACAACTGATGTGATTTGATGTGTTCACTGTCTTGGATTTTGTTCAGCCTCTAGCAGCAGCACCGGCGGTACAAAGAATTACAGCAATTTAACCTGCTGGAAATGAAAGCATGGATAAGTTTCTCTTAGTCCTGGCTGGACATGAATCCTTGCTATGTTTTCAAGATGATACACTTTGTAATTGTCAATAGTGAATTAGAAGTTTTATTTATCGCCATTTGCATTCAGCTTTACAGCATTACCCTTTTTACTTCCTTTCTTTCCTTTTTTCATCACAGAAGTTGGCAGAAGATTATGGTGGCCTGTAGATAGTTAACAATAAAACACGAGAGGAACAACTCAGTGTGGCAGAGAGGTACTCAAAGGATGTGTATTCTCCAAGTGCTTGCACAAGGAAGCACCACTGAATAAGGCTGCAATTCCTCCTGCTTTTGTTTCACCTATAAAAAGAATTTAGAAGGGGCTGGTTCAGTAAGAACATCCACACCGCCATTTCAATCTTAACAGGTTTCTGGTAAAACACAAAATTAGGTTTAAGGTTGTTAATTCAAAATCATTTGTTTGGTAGAGACCTAACAAATCTGCTGAAAGTGTTTGTGCAGCAAAAAGCCTAAAACCTTTTGTGATCCACAAAAAACACCCCTATATTGATATTATTATTATATTCAAGGCAGTGCTATAACAATCAAGTTTACGTTTTAATAATTATCCTGAAAACAGCTTGGCAGAGAGACAAAATTCTTTCATAATTTTAATCTCTCAGCTCATCTGCACCTGGCTTCTGCTCTAAAAATGTCAATTTCACAATTCAATTCAATTCAATTCAATTTTATTTATATAGCGCCAAATCACAACAACAGTTATCTCACAGCGCTTTTCATAAAAGAGCAGGTCTAGACCGTACTCTGTGATGTTATTTAGAGAAGCCCAACAGTTCCCACCAAGAGCAGCACTAGGCGACAGAGGCAAGGAAAAACTTCCTTTTAAGAGGCAGAAACCTCGAGCAGAACCATGGCTCAGGGTGGGCGGCCATCTGCCTCGACCGGTTGGGGTGAGAGGTGAGAGGGTGAGAGAGAGAGAGAGAGAGAGAGAGAGAGAGAGAGAGAGAGAGAGAGAGAGAGAGAGAGAGAGAGAGAGAGAGAGAGAGAGAGAGAGAGAGAGAGAGAGAGAGAGAGAGAGGAGGGCAGCCTACACAATACACACAGAGGTACAGACAGCGAAGGTAATGTTGCTATAGACTGAATGAAAAATGGTACAGATATTTATAATAGTGTTAATGGTAACCATCGTAATGTTAATGATTATAATAACAATAGTAACAATAAGACTAGCAACAATAGTCGTTGTAGCAGAGGGTGTCGAGCAGGAACACGGGGGCAGCAGGTGACCCGCAGCCACAGATCCAGACTCCACAGCTCCAGAGCCAGACAACAATGTGTTCTTAATTATCTCCTCAGAAAACACTGGGCCGTTCCAAATACTCAAGCCAGTCAATTTTTTATCAACAAATGTCATGTCATCAGGTCATAACTGCTGCTAAATGCTGTTAGCTAGTTATGGGAACCGGGCTCAGCAGCCCCCCCACCACGGCCGGCCCGGGACTGAACACAAGACTGACGGAGGCCAGTTTGACGACAAGGAGACCCATACCGAGGGGATTTGTTGCCACTCTGACCAGGACTCTGATTCTGGGGATGACGATGACATGGCAGGTTCAGGAGAGGCGTGAAATGGGAGATGTAGCGACGCCGTGTAGAACCAGAATATTTTATATTTATAATATCTGTGAATTAAGGTTGTTGCTTATTTCACCACACCAGAGCCTGTGATTGTTGGAACTGTGACCGTTTGGGTGAGCTTTGGTTTTGGATGAAGTGTGTTTCATGATGAGTTAACAAGAATTCAGAAGGTGTACGGTACGTTGTTTTTTTCTGTTTGATAAGAAGAAAGAGGAATTTTTCCTTTCTTGGCATTTTTATTTTGTTTGTTTATTAGATTAAAAAAACTGGGAGCACTTGTGTAACGTAGTGAAATCGCTACTCGCACTAAGCTCCCAGCTCCCAGCTGAAGAGATGGGGGAGGCCTCAGCTGTACTATCAGACTGTCACCTCTGTGACAGTGGTATTACGACAGGGCGGGGCTAGCTGGTTAGCATGCTAACTTAAGCAGATATGTCTGCAACAGAGCTATTACTTCTTCACATTCTGTTCATCATGTTAGTTCATTTTTTTATGTTTTAAACTAACATTCTAGCCAAATCTTACACGCTGTACCTTTAAACCATTTTTGACTGGACTACACCTCACTGGTTTTTACTACAGCTATGAGAAACAAGCATCCAGACATTCAAAATCTGCCTTGAACCGATCACTGCTACACTATTTATTCATTCATCAATGTAGTTGATCCTCTTCAGACTTAGGGTTTTGCAGAGCCATGTATTCAGTGATAAAAGTCTGCTGAACCAGTTGATCCCTCTGTTGGCGACAAAGAATATAAGCAACCTCTGCAATTAATGTGTCAACGTCTTGAACCTTTTACTGTTGCCCATCCTTCCTTCCTTGTAAACCGGTCATGCCCTCTGTTCAAATGGTCTAAAAATCAATTAATATATTTCTTAAGTCATAAACCAAACTAAAGCAAACGCATAGCACAGATTTAGTTAACGTTACACTGGAGTGGTGTTGGACCACAGTACCGGAGTAGTGGAGCCGGAGGGATGTAGAACAGAGGAACTCCGTTTTTGGTGCTCTCAGGAATCATGTAGTTCTCAGGAATGGAATTAAATGACTGGAGGTGCACCAACATCTGATCAGTCTGGTTGATGCTGGAAGGACAAACAGCACATGTACGGTAGGTAAGTAACAGCAATCTCGATCAGATGTATCATCATTATTTTACACTCTAACTCATGGTGGAATCATTGTGCATTGTGTACCTCTGTAGTGTGTTCCAGAAGCGTCGGATGACGGAGGTACGGTACGGACTGGTGATGGGTTTCCTCTGGGTGCAGCTAATGTCATGCAGGATGTCATAGCTTCCTTCCATGGTCACCTCCACCCTGGTGGTTCTCTTGGTGGGGTCCAAAGGCCAGGAGGCGGCTGCCAGGTACTCGATATGCATGTTGTGTTTCCATAAAAGCACCAGCTTCACCTCCAGCTGAGTCCCACCTTAAGAAACCAGGGGTGTCATTCTCAGCCAGAATAAACCCTGCACCACCTTGTTGAGCCATTTCCTCTAGGACTTTTGAAAAGACAAAACGTTTACCTTTAGTGAGGCTGATCTCTCTGATTGTGTAGCCCTCTCTCAGTCGCACAGACACCACGCTGATTAAATGGGCATGGACTTCCTTCTCTGTGTGCTTCTTCCTCCTCATGACCAGGGCGGGGTTACCGCTGGCTGACACCAGGTGCTCATTGAACAGTTTGTGCTGGGAAACTATAACACAGTGAAGTAGTGAGTATGTACGCATATTTATTTTCATCATCATCAATACTAATAAACCTGCATTGTATCTTAGAAAACAATGTCAATGGAGTTCACAAGAAAAATAACAAAAATGCCATAAAACATAAATCTAATTTGACGATAACTTTGTCCTAAACGTATGTTTTAGAAATGCATTTAAATAACTATAAATTCCTCTATTCAGTTCATTAAACCTAGCTAGGTCATATTCACAGATTTTGAAAAACAAAACACAGAACTTGATGGTAATTAAGGGTATTATTTGAAAATGATACATATATATTTTGCTTTATAATAAATTGTATTCATTTGCGTTGTACTTTTTTCCTACTGCATTTTAGTGGGACACAGAACGCAACATTGTGTTGTGTTTGTTTACATTTCAAATTAGCTTTACAATGAAATAAGCTCATTAGTAAAACCTTTTCTGAAGAATACCCTTACAGCAACAAAAACCATTGTCATGTTTTTATAGCACATTGAACTAATTTTTAATCAAGGGGGCCTATCATCCCACAGGGCAAGTTTAGATATAGACACAGTACTACAAACAGACTTATAGTACACTGTCTCACCACAGAAGTACTCTGAGTTCATAGACTCCGGGGTCTTAAGGAAGGAGTAGGTTAAGAAGGCCTTGTGGTACACATTCATCTCCTGGTTGTTCACGTCCACTTCAGGACAGCTGGGCAGGTATGAACCAAATGTAGCTAATGAGATGAACTTCATCAGCTCTACATTGGGGATGTAGCCAAAGCTGCAGTCGTAGGAGTACGCACCACCAACCTGGAAGGGGATACACATATTTGAAAGAAGAGCAGTCAGTATGATGTTGCCGTCATTCTACGGAGTCATGGTTGTCACAGAATCCCTCTCACATTACAGTTCTTTGAGTGGAGTTCTTGAGTAGATTGAGATACACATAAGCATCCTCGTTGCGATCCTATCCTGATTTTAATCATATTCAGGATATAACGTTTTCATGGAACATGGAGCATAGAATAACCTGGTTATTCATACCCCATGACTCCTTTCTGTATCGTCCAAGTTCAAAAAGCAGTTGAGGACAAACTCACTGCCCTGATTAAAACTGGAATATTGGTGTTGCAAGTACTCCTTTAAAATAATTCCAAAGATGACTGACAGTAAAAAGATAAAGACCAAATACAAATACAGAATGCACATATACACATGAAAAAGTGTTTGCCCCCTTCCTGATTGCATGTTTGTCACACCCAAATGTTTCAGATCAAACAAATTGAAATATTAGACAATGATAACACAAAAAGCAGTTTTTAAATGAAAGTTTTTATTATTAAAGGAAAAAAATCCAAACCTTCATGGCCCCTGCATGGAAAAAGTGATTGTCCCCTATACTTAATAACTGGTTGGGCCACCTTAGCAGCAACAACTGCAATCAAGGGTTTGCGATAACTGGCAATGAGTCTTTTACAGCGCTGTGGAGGAATTTTGGCCCACTTATCTTGGCAGAATTGTTGTAATTCAGCCACATGGAGGGTTTTCAAGCCTGAACCGCTTTTTTAAGACCATTCAGGTCAGGACTTTGACTAGGCTGCTCTAAAGTCTTCATTTTGTTTTTCTTAAGCCATTCAGAGGTGGACTTGCTGGTGTGTTTTGGAGCAATGTCCTGCTGCAGAACCCAAGTGCGCTTCAGCTTGATGGCATGAACAGATGCCTGGACATTCTCTTTCAGGATTTTTGGTGGACAGCAGTATTCATGTTTCCATTTACCACAGCAAATCTTCCAAGTCCTGAAGCAGCAAAACAGCCCCAGACCATCACACTAAACTTCCTTTTCTGAAATGCTGTGTTACTTTTATGCCGGATGTAATGGAACACACACCTCCCAAAAAGGTCAGCTTTTGTCTTGTCAGTCCACAGAGTATTTTCCCAAAAGTCTTAGGGATCATCAAGATGTTTTCTGGCAAAACTGAGACGAGCATTTATGTTTTTATCTTGGAACTCTGCCTCTTTCTTATGGCGGAGTCATGAACACTGACCTTAACTGAGGCACGTGAAGCCTGCAGTTCTTCAGATGTTGTTGTGGGGGGTTTTGTGACCTCTTGGATGAGTCGTGACTGCGCTCTTGGGGTAATTTTACTTGGCCGGCCACTCCTGGGAAGGTTCACCACTGTTCCATGTTTTCGCCATTTGTGGATAATGGCCCTAACTGTGGTTCGCTGGAGTCCCAAAGCTTTAGAAATGGCTTTATAATCTTTTCCAGACTGATAAATCTCAATTACTCTGTTTCTCATTTGTTCCTGAATTTCTTTGGATCGCACACGTGTTTCAGCATGATGTCTAGCTTTTGAGGATCTTTTGGTGTACTTCACTTTGTCAGGCAGGTCCTATTTAAGGGATCTCTTGATTGAGAACAGGGGCAGAAAACAAAGATTCCAAAGATGGGATAAACCACAGTTGATTTATTTTTTAAAAGGTGGGGCACAATCACTTTTTCACAGAGGGCCATCTAGGTTTGGTTTTTTTCCTTTAATAATAAAAACCTTCAGTTAAAAACTGCATTTTGTGTTTACTTGTGTTATCTTTTTCTAATATATCAATTTGTTTGATGATCTGAAAAGGAAGTATATGAGTAACAAACAGGTCAGAGGTGCAAACATCAAGATGTTATGGTCTTTACCTGCACAAAGGAGCAGGCAATGGTTCCACTCCTGAGCTGGTTCAGCAGTGTTTCACACACAGCTACATCCGGAACACTAGTCACTCCGTCTGTGATTATAATGATACCTGGAACACACACAAGTTAAATGACTAAAACCTCTTAAAGTCACATGATGTACTTCTGACTTTACACGGTGAATAGTCAGGATGGTGGAGGTATGAAAGTCAGCAGGGTTTCAACTTCTCTCTCACTTCTCTATTTCCATCCTTCACACAACTACTTCTGTCACTCTTCCTGTGCACAACCGAGTGCAACAGCATGAATGTCTTCAAAGAGAGACTGCTTGAAAGTGTGCACTGTTATCTCCATTTGCGTGATTCATCACATCAAGACTACAAAGACATGCAAAAGACAGAAGAAGGCTATGATGGCCATTCAGAACAGGTATAATCACATTGGAAGTGGTTGGATGATATTTTATTTTATTTAAGCATACTGAGGCCTTTACATTTCAGGCCTACCACAGTCAACAATGTCTACATAGGCAAAACAGACTGACATCTTCATGCACACATATCAAAGATGCCAACCTGTTAAAGCAAACCCATGACCATATTTTTGCAATATCATAGTAAGTAGATTGATCCAAAACCTTTAAAGTTGGCTAAAGTCGTAAAAATCATTCAGATTTCTTGGCAATGTTTAACTCATTAATACAATATCAACTGTACAAACATACTCTTGCAATACTTAGCTTACGATATGGTTAATCATGATATTTAGCTTGCTAAATTATCCAGACACAGTTTAAGAGACACTGTGCTGACACTGCTTGAGGATTATTTACATCATAGCAAGAGGTTACTATCCAAAAACATATGTCTGACATAGCTACAATATTGTGTGGGGTGCCTCAAGGTTCTATTCTTGCTATATTTAATTTTCATTCATTGTCTTCCAAATGGGTGGTGCTGTGGTTAGCACTGTCGCCTCACAGCAAGAAGGTCGTGGGTTCAAACGTGAGTGGGAGTGTTTGTCTATGTGTAGCCCTGCGATGGACTGGCGACCTGTCCAGGGTGTACCCCGCCTTTCAGCCGATGTCAGCTGGGATTGGCTCCAGCCCCCCGCAACCCTGTACGCAGGATAAGCGTTTGACGATGGATGGATGTCTTCCAAATGCCTCTGACACAATATTGCCGATAGTTTTTGTTTAAAATGAATAACTAAGCTGTCACATAATGTCGAGCACTCTAATGTCATTCAAAGGTTGCAGAGAAGTTGATTATTCTTGGTTACAAGTATTGATCAGCAGGCCATTGAGTAAGTTTACTTTACATACTTGCTAGGGGAATTCATTGATTATGTATGGGTTATAAGGCAAAAATTGGTGGAGTTGCTGATCTCTCCCTTTAATAGCTAAAGATGTCGATATCGGAGACTTGCCAGACTAGACAAGAACTTTTCACCACTGATGGACAAGATGTTTTTTCAACTAACGAAGCAACAACCATCTAAAGACAATAGAATGACTCTTTGGATCAATTTAGCTGCAAAGCAAGTCAAAGAAGAGGTCAATATCCTCTTCTCTCTTCTTTCTGGGTCACACAGAGACAAACATTTTATACTGTATTGTATGAGCAAAACTCTGGTTTACTTGTTCTTTATTGGAATAAACTCTTTTGCACTGACTCTTGACCGTCTCCAGTGAAGTTTTTGACCACGCAGTTTTTGACTGAAGAAGAAAGCCAATACAGTAATATTTACTGAGTTTAATAAGTTGGTTAGGGTAGGGACCAGGCCTTCCACTGGCCCGGCCTGTCCTTATTTCCAACCCAACAGACTATATTGGGAATGTAATCACTTTGGGTGGACACTGTTTGATCCAGTAGGAGGCGGTAATGCCAACCACTATAAAACACCAACGAAGAATAAGAATTAAATATAGCCGCGAGCAGCAATGATCGGGATCCAAGGCAGTCGCGAAAAACGCAACATATGAAATTCAGAAGAGAAGAACAGACGCAGACGACTTCAGAGATTAAAGTGATGAAAGAATTTGGATAATTGTGGAAACGCATTCTGGATTTTTAAAGCATCCCCTTGAGATCAGAGAGCGTCATTATATGTACCTGACTACTGGGTGAAATGTTCGACCCACCTGCGATATTTTGGGTTTCGAAGATTTAAAGTTTAAGCTGCACAAACTCTTTTTAGCAGAGAAAAATGAGAAGAAACTGCCAGGGATCCAAATAAAAAAAGAGACCTTAGACTCACTATGATCTGAACACCCCCACTGTCAGCACGTCTGACTGGCTCACCTGGGGATTTGAACCCTGCACCTGCAGAGCTGCAGAGTAGGTGACTTACTGACTGAGCTACAGGTGAGAGGTTTCCACACACCTTCTCACAACTTGAGGTAGTGATGTCACATGTGCCAGACCCCGATAGTTTGTCAGTTTAACTTAAAACGCTTACATCTGTCAAAATGTTGGTGAGAAAATTCTGAAAAAAATCATGCATGGTGGCATTTGATCCAAAATTGAGTTAAAAACAAAAAGTTGTGCATACTGTACAAGTTACATCTGAAAACACTTGATATCGGCCATCTGGAAAACGACTGTTGAGTTTGGTAGAGTTTGAATAAAGACTTGTGGAGATATAGATGTTAATTGAATTAGTATATTCTGATAAATATAGTGACTGACTTCTGAACTGACCATAGGTTGCAGTGAGGCAAATGTCACATTTCAGTGGATGTGCTGAAAAAATTTCAGCTCTCTAGGACGTATGGATGATTATCTTAGACTTTTTTGAAGTTAGGAATGAGAAATGTCTAGAAATGTACATTTCTTGTAATAAGCCACGCCCACTTTGTGCAATCATTACCAATTATTATACATCAACTGAGTAGTGACCCGAGATCGCACAAACCGAGTTTCGTACAAATCCATCCAGTGAATTACGAGGTATAAACCTTTTGCAAGTGTAGCGCCACCTAGTGGAAGAATATCCGAGGACTGCTCAGCGAAGCTCAGGACGAGCGTCTGTACAGATGTGTCGAGTTTGGTTACATTAGCTTAAGCCAATTTTGATTTACGGGCATTTATGTAAAGTTGTACATAAATACACAAAAGTAAAAATTTAAGAAAAAAAAAAAAAACGATTCACGCATCAAAATTCTTTTGATAACTTTTGATCAGCGATGTCCGTAGATGATCCTGCTAAAGTTTCAGGTCGATTGGCGAAACCGTCTGGGACGAGTTTGCAAAAATAGGTTTCAGAGAAAAGTAACAAAAAGTTACATAATTTGACATTTTTAGAGCAGAAGACCATTGGAGCAAAGATGCAGATAAATCCAGAGATTAAAATGATTAAAGAAGTTTGACTCTAAACAAAGTCTTTTGAGATAATTGCAAAAACGCAATGTTGATTGCTGACGTATTGCGGTAAGCGTGTCGACTCATTTCCGTTTCCGGTGCTTGTGTGTTGGTACCGTGTTGTTGCTCTCGCTAAATAACAGTTACATTTGTTTGATTACAGCGGCCAACTGTTCGCTAAACACTTATTCTTTACAGTAATTTTGCCTAAGCACTCACAGTTCTTTCCATCTTTTAGTGACTGCTGTTCAATCTCATAGTTGTTCTAAAGTTTTGGTAGCTGACGCTACAGTACTTTAGCTTAGCCGTTAGCGACTTTAGCTTAGCAGCTAGCGATGGCTTCTCCTTCTCCCTCTCTCTCTCCTACTTTCTCCTGCTCGGTGTGTCAGATGTTCAGTTACTCCTCTGCCTCCTTTAGCGGTAATGGTACGTGTAATAAGTGTAGTTTATTTATAGACATGGAGGCGAGGCTCAGTGAGTTAGAAGTCCGGCTCCGCACCTGGTAGATCAGTCTTTAGCTACTGTAGCTAGCCAGTCCCCGGTAGTCGGTGCGGAACGGCCTGAGTTAGCCTCTGGTAGCCGTCCTCCGGCATCCCCTGTGCAGCCAGGAAAGGGGGGCTGGGTGACTGTCCGAAGGAGGAATAGTAAGCATTCAAAGTCCACGGGGCATCATCAACCTGTTCACGTTTCTAACAGATTTTCCCCACTCAGCGACACACCCGCTGAGAAACCAACTCTGATCATTGGCAGCTCCATTTTGAGAAACGTGAATTTAGCGAAGCCAGCGGCCATAGTTAAGTGCATCCCTGGGGCCAGAGCGGGCGACATTGAGTCTTATTTGAAACTGCTGGCTAAGGATAAACGTAAATACAGTAAGATTGTTATTCACGTCGGCGGTAATGACTCCCGGTTACGCCAATCGGAGGTCACTAAGATTAATGTTGAGTCGGTGTGTACATATGCAAAAACAATGTCGGACACCGTAGTTTTCTCTGGACCCCTGCCAAATCTGACCAGTGATGACATGTATAGCCGCATGTCGTCATTCCGCCGCTGGTTGTCGAGGTGGTGTCCAGCAAACGATGTGGGCTTTGTTGATCATTGGCAGACTTTCTGGGGAAGACCTGGTCTGATCCGGAGAGACGGCATCCATCCCACTTGGGAAGGAGCAGCTCTCATTTCTAGAAATCTGGCCAAGTTTATTAGTGGACCAAATCCATGACAACCCAGAGTTGAGACCAGGAGGCAGAGTCGCAGTCTAACACACTTCTCTGCTCCTCCATTTCAGGAGTTACTTAGTGAAAATCCTATAGTGACGGTGTCTGCCCCCGACCATCGAAATTATTTAAAAAGGTAAACAGAAGAGGAGCTGTGCATAAAAACCTCATAAAAATTAAAACCACAAGAGCAATAGTGCAAACAAATAGGAGAGTTAAATGTGGACTCTTAAACATCAGATCTCTCTCTTCTAAAGGTGTACTAGTAAATGAACTAATATCAGATTATGATATTGATTTATTTGGTCTTACTGAAACCTGGCTGGGTGATGGAGAATATGTTAGCCTAAATGAATCCACCCCTCCCAGTCATATTAATACTCACATTCCTCGAGGCACAGGCCGAGGAGGTGGAGTTGCAGCTATCTTCGACTCTAGCCTATAATCAGCTCTAAACCTAAACTAAACTATAACTCATTTGAAAGTCTTGTTCTTAGTCTTTCGCACCCAAGTTGGAAATCACTGCAACCA